GCCTGCTTGGGAAAACCAAGCGAATGAAAGGCGGAGGGAGCGTTTCTTGTTTTTCAATGGCGCCATTCATTGCTAAGAATACGTCTTCAGCCACACACACGTCACAGCCCTTTGTAGGGCGGATGCATTCATATATCCATTCACCCATAGATCGTATTTTTGACCTGAACCAGAGAACGATCAAGCTTCGATTCAGTAACTCCAGAGATATGATTTGTTATGGAAACATGAAGGACTGTGTGACCCGACAGATTTAGCGTTTTCGGCCGGTGAGAATCGAGTTCATGACCTGTTGGACATGGACCCCCCCCCCTATCAACCAGGCTATCCCAGCCCTATATACAATAATTATTAAAACAATTAATTAATCCTCAAAGTAAATGTTTTTGGATTGGAAAATGTCTTAAACTGGAAAACTACCTAATGACAGTGCAAATAATTATAAATTCTCTAGGATCTTCAATGTGTAAAATTTCTGCAATAATACATTTTTTTGTAAAAAAAAATAAATAAGTAAATAAATTCAAATGAAAAATTTTCAAAACGTTTCTTACTAAAAGAAGTCTGGAATAAAAAAAAATACTTCTATGAAAATAAGGCAGTTGATAATATTTAATTTAGTTTAAATTCGAATGAATTTATTTGGGTTATGAGTTCGGCCAACTTGAAAAATACAACTTTCATATATTTCCATGAAATAAGTTATATATAAGTAAATATTTCTATGAAAATAAGGCTGTTGATAATATTCCGTTTAGTTTATATTCGAATGAATTTATTTAGGTTAAGAGTTCAACCAACTTGAAAAATATAACTTTTACACAAATAGCTTTTAAGTTTTCTGGACGCAAGTAGTGGAATATTTGCGCAAGAATTCAATATTCGAATAGATCCTGAGATAGTTTTTCTGATCATAAAACATTAACAGTGTTAAAATGCTAAAATCATTTTAAAACATGTATTTTTTAAAAATAAAGAAATACATTTATTGAAATAAAAAATTTCCAGAAAATTTTTTATGAAAAAATATATTTCTATGAAAATAAGGCAGTTGATAATATTCAGTTTAGTTTAAATTCAAAATGAATCGGTAAAGATTTGTTCGGGTTATGAGTTCTTTCAACTTGAAATATATAGCTTCTAAGCTTCAATATAAATAGATTAAATAAGTTTTCTGGACGCAAGTAGTGGACTATTTGCACAGGAATTTAATATTCTAATAGGAGGATATTTTCCCTCCTGATCATAAAACTTCAGCTGCCTTTAAACATGTTTTTTTGTAATTGTAAAGTGTCCTAACTCTTTAAGCTCGAACCTAAACTTCGAATTAACTTTTTTTAAGAGTAAAAATGAATGCTGGCTTTTATTAGCCAACGAAAAGCATATTACAGAATCCCATTTCTTAAAAATTATTTCCGAAATTTTAGTGATCTTGCGTATGCTATACTTGCTACGTTACAAATATTTAGATATCTAAATCAAAATAATTACCCACTTATTTATATCCGACATATCCAAATTTCGACAACATTATCTTTATCATTTTACTTATTTTACCTCCAATGTTAAATACATTTACAAAATTTAAGCTTTATAAACTATATTTTAGATATATTTATCAATTCTATATTCAATTTCAATATTTTGAACCAATATTTCATCTTCATCTGCAAGACTCTTTCACTACTTAAATGCAAAACTTTAGCTTCTTTATTTTCAATTAAGAAATCGTTCCCTTCTTTATACACATTATACAAATATTTATACTTTTAAATATTTTGCAACGTGAATTATGTCATTATTTTAAACCGGCTGTTGTTTTGCTTCTACGCAACATATTTGTTTTATTAATATCTTCAATACTACGTCTTGCTTATTTACAGAAATTTCAACTTTTATTGTATATGTTACCGGCAAAGTTTGAAATCCGGCATTCTATAGAATGCCTAGGCATTGTATATAATACCTAAAACCAGCCTGCAATGTATGAAATGATTTATATTTCACACAGGCATTCTATAGAAAGCCAAATGAGAAACCGGCAAAGTATAAAATCTTCCGTGGCCATGCTAGTAAAGGTGCTGAAATGGATATTTTGTGCAATATTTGTTTCTTAACTGAAAATAATTGTGACTTAAATGTGAATTTTTTAACGAAAATTTTGTAGATGCCAAAAATTCTATAGAATGCCAAATGAAAAACCGGCAAAGTATAAAATCTTCTCTGGCTATGATAGTAAAGGTGTTGAAATGGATATTTTGTGCAATATTTGTTTCTAAACTGAAAATAATTGTGACTTAAATGTGAATTTTTTATACGAAAATTTTGTAGATGCCAAAAATTCTATACAATGCCAAATAAGAAACCGGCAAAGTATAAAATCTTCTTTGACCATGCTAGTAAAGGTGATCAAATTTATATTTTGTGCAATATTTGTTTCTAAACTGAAAATAATTGTGACTTAAATGTGAATTTTTTATACGAAATTTTGTTTCCTTTAATAAGAAAGGCATAAATTATGTTTTGTACAATTTTCATTTTTCTTACGCATTTCGAATAAACTTTTTTTAATAGCACTCTCATTATTTTTTCAGTATAACATTTTTATTTTTGAGAAATGAGCATTATTTACATAATAACCTCATCAAGACGTTTTTTTTCATGCTTTGCCTAAATAGCATTTGTCATTATATAAAATGCCTAGGTATTATATCCAATGCCTGGGGAAAGTATCGAATAATTCTCATATTTCATACCTTGCCTAAAAACATCCGGCATTTCATACAATGCCTAGGCATTTTATAGAATGCCGGTGCTTCATACTTTGCGGGTAACATATAAAATCTTTCGTTTTCTGCGTATACATTATATAATTATATTATATAACTGCAAATATCACAATCCCAACCACGCCATTAGTTTAAGCCGTTATTTCATTCTCCTCTGCAGAACGCAACCTTTTTCATTAATTAAATACGATATTTTATCTTTTTTATTTTCAGATATTTTTCGTATTATAATAAGATTGTTTCCTTCTTTACATGCATTATGCATACATTTATAATTATAAATATATAGCAGTGCTTTGCGTGTTTCTCATTACTATTTGAATTTCTAAAATAATCCATGCTGAGAAAGAATTTACTATTTTCCAAACCAACACCGCTAACTCAAAAGAGTTGATTGGGAATAAATAATTAGTTCCAAGCACCCATTCTCAGATATTTTTCTGAGGAATAGATTTTAGTACAACTATCACACATCAAGTTTTAAAAATGCCCCAAGTGAATACCTAGGAATCTTTTAACAGTGATTCCAAAGTAAAAATATTGTTTTTAAAATATCATTTTGAAATTTAATACTTGCATAACTTATATTTATTCAGTACTATGCATGATAACTGAAATTTAAATTGAACTAGGTGATCACTCTCCCTGCTCACTACCACTCACCAACCCCCATGATATCTTCACAATAATTATTGTTTCTTAAAACAATTTTTCTTTTGAAAATTTAAATTATTCACTTAAAATATGTGTTCTATTACTTGAATACCTCTCCTTCGTACAGGGAGAGAAACAAATTTAAATAAGTAATAAATTGGTATTAATCAACTCTACGAAATCCCAATGTAAAAAAGGGTTTCTCAAAATTGAACAAAAATTTGTCGAAATTGCTCCGTAACAAATAGTAGTCGAATTTAAAAACCCAGTGTTTTCAAAATTGGAACAGCATTTACTCATCTTGAGCAAAATGCATTTCGAGGGAGAAATAGGTGAGAGAGATGTTTGTTGGCTGCCAGCAGAATTCAAACCAAGGACCTCCGGATTCGTAGTAGGATGCTATAACTACCATAATTGTACACTCCAATGCAGAGAGAGTTTGAAAGCTTTCTATAGTAATCGCCGGCAAAGAAAGCGGATTTATAATTACCGATCTCCTGACTCAGCCATTCTTCAATGTTTCTAATGTATTTACTGTCGAGAATTTGTGTTATTGTATACTGTTAGAGCAAGTGTATTCCTTCCTAAATGAAGAAATGTCTATTTCTTTCTCTTGTATTCGCATAATTACCTCCTTCAAAGTATTTTTGATGCCCCATTTTGTTATCATTTAATTTTGTATTTTATCTTGTGTTACTTTTTTATAATTTATATAATATGATTTTGCTTGTTCTGAAATAAAATGGCATAAAACAAGTAGTAAATGTAAAAATTATAAAAACTCAATATTTTAATTAATGAGGAATAATTTTGGTCACATTAAAAATAGTTTATACAAGAATAGACCATATATTTTATGCTTGATGATAATTTTTGAAACCATGCTTCCAAAAAGATTTATTCAAAAACTTTTGCTTTATCCCTTTAACAATTATTTAATATTAAAAAAATTATTATTCATCAAAATGCGATGACGATTTTTAAAGGAAAATTGTAACGATTGTGCTATCAAAGGAAAGAAATTTTACGAATGAGAAATAATTTTTTTTATTTTTTCGATAAAGTCCTCTTGATAACAAGAGCTCTAAGTATTCCCAAGGTCTTCTATTAAAATAAATGCAAGGTACTTATACCAATTTAAATTTTAAGATCTGGTATTGATTTCTAATTTTTCTTTAAATGAGAAGGATCTCACATGTAATATTTTTTATATATCGCAAGTTTTCCCCAAAAAAATTATTTTCCGTGATTTTTGTTTATCTGAAAAAAACATTAATTTAAATAGTTAAATCATTCAGTAGATAAAGATGCATAAGTAGTCATTGTCGAACATAAGAATCATAATAACAAAGTGTTATAAAAATACGAAAAATTGCAGCGTGGTTAATGTGTATTGTGAATATTGCTTAAATGGCGTAAAGATAAAATGATAATTATGAAATATTCTAAAACACCCATGATCATAACAATTTTCATGTTCTAGTCGCTTTGTATTTCTAACAACAATCGATTTACGTAAATTTCATTTACACTGAACAAAAATAAGACAAGTACAGATACGATCAAGGCAGATTTATTAATTTACCAAACAAGCATCCCATATAAAAGCAACACAATAAATACTGTACAAAACAAAGTCGAAATCATTCACCAAAATTTCAAACAAAATAAATAAATTGCTTTTCTACTACAAAAAAATACGTATTCAACAGTTAATTCAGTCCATATTCAATTCAAAATTCCTAGTTTAATTTGTTTCCCGTTCGTATTCTAGCCCCACCATCGTCTTGTGCTTCCGGAAGTTCTGTTCACAAAGCAGAGGTCGTCTGCATCAGATCCCATATTTTCCATAATCCAGTCGGTGTATGATGCAGTTGAAGTATACACAGCAGGTACTCGAGGTGCTGCACAACCCAAAAAGGAACCAAAAGATGCAACTCCAATAGCCACTGGTTTGGTTTCATTCAATGCCACGAGAGGGCCACCAGAGTCACCCTGAAAAAGCAACACTTGTTAAAGAAAAAAGGGTAAAACTTATTCGGCAGAATAAATAGAACGATAAATATTTGACTAAAAAATATGAGATAAAAATGTTTTTTAAACCACTTTACTGGCAATGTAGCAAAAACAGGTTATGCATAAAAAAGAGCTCTTAATATAATCTAATTCGCATTAATTTTTCAATATAATGAGCATTAATTTGAGATATATTTACCCTCAATACAAAGTTAAAAAGATTAAATGCTTAACACTGTTCGAAAATTTGAAAAAAAGGATAAATTAATTGATATTTTAAAATACTTATCGGTTATTAAGTTTGAACAAAATTTTATTAAAATAATAAATTTAACTCACAATTTATCTAATGTATGATATAACAGTTCATTTATTTCTTTATTTATTTATATCCTATTTTTAATAATACATGAATTCTTAGGTCAATTTTTTTTAAAAAAATTTTATTTATAATGCTTGTAAACTTTGCGCTGCTTCAAACTGAAAGTTATTCTAGTAATTTAATTTGTCTTTTAAACTTTAAAAAATGCCACTTTATATCGTGGTTTTTCTTCATTAAAAATATTATAAATATTCTTTTAAGTCAAAACAATTATTAATTATTATTTTTTGAACACTGTTATTGAAGCATTTTGAGTAATAACAAATAGTAAATTTAATAAGTCTTTATATTTTCTTACTTTTTACTAATTTACAAACTAGCTTAATAAAATATTTATAGGAAAAAATCTAAAATTCAATAAACAAATCAATAAAAATTACCATATAATTCAGAAAATAGGATTCTAATAAAATCATAAAAAACGCAATGACATAATCTAAATCATGTCATACTGCTACTCAAGAGAAAAAAAATTAGCTTTCACTTTTTCAAAATAAATATAAATACAAATAAGACTTAATCAAATAATTAGAACAAACATATTAAATATACCTACCTTTCTATGAAGCACTTTTAAAGCACAGTTCTCTATCTTTAGCTAAATAGGCAAGTTCTTTATTTAAATAAAATTTAAAAGCTGATGATTTTAATCTGGGGTTATTTGTAGAAAATATCGCCCTTCTTGCTTTTTTAAAACAAATATATTCTTTTCTACAGATAAAAGGCAAAAATGCGCCCAAAACACTTTGTATCTCATGAAACTCTGTGACACCTCGCTTGAATTATCAATTATTCGCATACTAAAACTTTTCGCAGCATCTCACAAGTTTGGAGACTAAAATAAATTGGAAAAATAACCAAATAATCAGCCAAATATTTCGTAAAGTAGCAAAATATTTATTAAAAAGCAACTTAAAAAAATCCTTTACAAAATAATTGCAAAATCATACAAAAAAGGAAAGCGGAATAGCGATAGGAGGAATTCCTTGAGCAAGAAACTGATGAGAAATATCATCTTCATCAAGTTTCATCCTCGTCTTCTTGATTGAGATGTTTTGGGGATGATGCAAAGATCCTTAGCATCCTCTCCCATTTTCTCTGTGATCCAATCCATATAAGAAGCAACACGAGTATATACTGCAGGAATGAATGGTTGAGCACAACCCCTTCTAGATACAAAAGATGCTACACCAATTGCAACGGGTTTAGTCTCATTCAGAGCAACAAGGGGGCCTCCAGAATCACCCTAAAAGACATACAGATGCACTTTTAAAAACTGAATGATCAAAATTCAGGAAATGATCTTCGTTTTTGACGAAACCGTTTCTTGGGAAATGCTCCCGGAGAACATTTCGTAGAAAGAATTACCATCGTCACTAGTTTGAGGGTACAAATTTTGTGAAAAGCATTAGGCTCAGTGCTACGTATTAATTAACACAATGGATTAGGAAATTTGAAAAAGAAAGGAAAATCAATTCACAGTTATCATTAGAATTAGGATCCGGGCTTTCAAGTACACCAAACCCTGTACCGTCCTGTCTTATTTTGCAAAGAAATTTAAAATCAGATAAAACAAAAGCTTTTAGAGAACTCTTAGAATACCCTGATCGAACACACGAGTAAAGAAACAGTTTTGACTCTCGGTTGAGAGTTTACGTTTCATCAAAAACCACGTGATTTCATGACAGAATGATTGTCCGAAATAATGCAGTACAGCTTTCTGTGTTAGTTGCTTTTTTAGATTCGATTGGATTATTTTAAACTTATTAAATTCGCTTCACAGCAAAACTGCTGTTTATGAACTTCTCCATACAAAGCTTAAAATGAAAAAATTTTAAAAATTATTGATGTTGCAAAATGGCTCCGTGCCCAACACGCAAACTATTTGACTACTTTTTGACTCAAACTTCTTCAAACTGCAATTTTCAGAAATCATTATGGAGATTTTTAACCATTGATTTTGTACTCAACTCTCTGTACTCAATGTACTTTTTTCATTTTCATCTGGTATATATTTTCGCATTTTGCTCAAATTTCAACCAATTTTAATATATTTTTCTGTCATCTTTACTATTATTATTTTAAACAATTAGTTTCTCGTAATGTGTTTGTAAAAAATAACACACACCAAATAATAATAACTAAACAAAATTTGGGCAATTATCGATTTTAAATTTTCATTTCCCATAATATAAATGTTATGAGTCCGTGATGAGATGTTTTTATTCCCCTGAAAAATTTAATATAAATTAATTATATAAGTTTTTTCATTTTTATTTACCATTTACAAAGAATGTATAATTCTAATCACAATGGAAAAAATCTTTATATTAATTCTATTTTAACTAAATCTAAATTTTCAAATCTATATTTTAACTAAATCTAAATTTTTTCCTCATTATATGCATATTTAATCCCATTAGTTAGCTTTAGAAAATGCTGAGAAAAGGCAAGGTGTACCATTAAATTAAATATTGAAACATTTATAACTTAAATAAACCTGCTTTAATGGAAACCAATTTTTTCAGCATCAAACTTTTAGTGATTTAGCTTGATAAATAATTGAAGATCAGATTTTTTCTTTGGAAATCTGTAAATTTGTAACGTGACAAATAATTTAAAAACTATTATTAAAAAAAATAATAAGTTTAACTTACGAAGCAAATGCCCTTGTCTCGTTCTCCGCCAGCACAGACATGTCTTCTGGTAACAGGAATACCCAAAATAGCATAAGTAAAAGAGCACAAGGAATTAGTTGGGATGTTTTCAGTAGCAGTTTGCAAAGTCTTGGCTGATTCTCGTCCTCCTGAAATAATAAATACATTAATAAGGTGAAATATTAGCTCCATATATACCATAAATAGTTTTTTATTTATTTTGTTTAATTTTCTAAAATTTTTTACATTTTAAAACAGTTCTACATATTTTTTTGTATTTTAAATCAGTTTAAATAGTTGACTAACACTTCTTTACAGTATATATTATATCATTTTTGCATGTATATAACAATTTCGTTATAGTTACAATTTCATATCACTTAATTTCTAAACTTCTAAACACTTTCTATCATTTTGCCATACTTTGCACTAATATAATAAGTTGAAAATCCTCATATCTAGTAAAAAATACAAAACTGAAAAGTAAATTTAAGGTTTTTATGCCATGCTCTAAGGTATTATGACAAAATTACTGAATTTTACCGCAATTTACCTAATTTTATCACTTATTATAAAACCATATTTTATTGTTAATTTTACCAGAATCCTTATGAAAGTGCTTCTGTAAAAATTACTGAGCTTTTTGGTTTTCCGATAGAGCCGGAAGCACAATAAATTTCAGTATATTCTATTAGTTTTGCTCTTGTTTTTTTTCTCGGTGTACCATTTTTAAAACTCACTTTACTTTTTATTATTTTATCCTTTTTTTGTACAATTACGTCATTTACGTCATTTTTTTACTCTTCTGTACGATTTATATTATTTTACAATATTTTTACACTTCTATACGATTTATATTATTCTACAATATTTTTACACTTCTATACGTAACCTACCCTTTTCAGAGACTCCCCATCCGATAACCTGGGCTGTCATGTCTTCAAATAAAGCATCTTTGGTGGGTAAGCAGACAGTCTGGATGTTATCGGAAAGAGTAGCTGGAGTTCTCACCTTCATCAAAGCAATGTCATATTCAGTGCCTGATCCATATTCCTTATGAGCGATAATTTCGTCGAATAAAAGCTCTGAATCGGGTCCGTCTCGATTAATTGTTCCAATGTATCCATTGTATTTTTTAGGATCTTCAACATCTCGACCACTAATAATGAAAAAAGGTAATAAGCTTTCAAAGAATAAATCATCTATCACTTACTCCATTTTAAGCAATTAAATTGAACCTGGTGTATTTAAATTTATTTTATTAGGAAATTACCAAAATGTTTTTAATTCCTCAAGGCAAAATCCCTAAATTATTCAGTAAATGTTTCTGTAATGTTTTAAACATCTCAATTCGAATTTGTTAATAACATTTCAATAAAAAACAGACTGTTTCCAGCAATTTATATCATTAAAAATATTAATATCATAAATAATTTATATCATAAATGGCATGGTTACTACTGACATTATTTATCCTTACTTAATATGCACTGTGTTAAATTTAAGAGCGTGGTAACTTATATTATTGAAATTTGTTGCATTAGTACAAATTTAGTGTAAGTAGAACCCTTTTATAATGCTATTTAAATTTGAATACATGATACAATTTAAGAGAAGACATTATTCAATTTAACACCCAATTATTGCTGAAGCTAATTTGCGTCGTATTAAGGTTCAAAATATTGATATTATGGTTTAACCAATTTTCTGAACCAGCTAAATACGAATCTACATTCACAAACGTTTACAAAAATAGTTTAGATAAAGCATTTAATAACACAATTTTTGGAAAACGGATGTTTTAATACATAACAATGTCTTAACATCTAAATGTTTTAAATAATATTAACAAAATTTTTATTGCATTCATTTTAAAAATTGATTTTAAAAATAATAGTAGATGCAAAATGCTGAATTCTTTCCAAATTTGAAACAGCTGGTTTGGTTAAAACTACATACAACCGGAAGAAACAAAGTAGATGATTATTAGAAATCCATCTTAATTACAACAAATAATCAAACTAGTTTTAATGTTTTTTTATCCCGTCTTCCTTACAGATGCTCGACAGATTTTTATAGCGATTTTGTTTTTATGTTTAAATAGTAATTTGCATTCTTTTCAATAATGTGTATTCTCTTTCAACTTCATCACATTTTTGATTTTTTTGACTTCATTGACAAGGGTTTATTAAATCTTAAACAATTAGGAACAGACATTACAGGACACCCTACAAGTACCGATACATTCGTAAAAGTGCTTTATATCAGTTCCATTCAAGAAAAACTTATTTAAATTTTTTATACTTACAAAACGACACAATGGGCTGCAGTCATCACTACTTTTGGAGTAACCAAAAATGAACTGCAAACAAATTTACCCTGATAATGAAGTGCTACCTGAAAATCAATAAAAACATTTTTAGAACTTCTGTTCCTTTTATTATTTACATTGTTGAATTATTTTAAAGGTCTTTAAATTAATTTCTTATAAAATATTATGTAATTTCGTGCTGATTAATTATTTGTTTATTTTTATGTCAACATTAATATTACATGAATTAAACATTTTTAATGAGTTTTGAATTTTATAATATTCTATTTAGCGATGAATATGAATGTATAGTAAAATTGTAAGTTCCAGCATTTTTAAAATTTAAGAAAAACGTAGAATTTTTTTATGCAAAATCGCGTTTTCGATAATTAATAGTTTATTTAAGAAATTAATGATATTAATTATATCACTTTGTTTACATAACTGATGAATTTTAGTTACAATTATAAAAGCCTTACTTATTTTATTAAGTGATTTAATTAAATTAATAAGAGGTTTTTTTGTGTTTTTTTCTGTCTTAATTGAATCAAAATATTCATAGTTATCCTTCTCTATCGACATGTAACATATTTAGTTCCAAATTTAAGCCTGCTATAATATTTTTCGCTTCTTCAAAGTAATTAGTACTAATTGAAGAAGTAATCATCTGTTTAAAATGACTGCATATAAAACCTGTTTACACTGTACTTGTTCTACAGACTTTCCGAAAAACATTTTGTTTTGACGAATAAATTAAATACATATTTTTAAGAAAAATATGAGTTATATATTTTTTTTACTATAAGGGGGTTAGCAAGTCTGTAAAAATAATTCCAGAGTTGTATACCAATAAAAATTTTATTGCGAAATTCAAATTTAAATATTTCAGAAGTATTTGTAAAACTTAAGTAGGCTAGTAGGAAAACTTCAAGTTAAGTTCCTGTACTAATCTGTTGCTATTACTTTTATCAATTACTACATGTAAATGATTTCAGAATAAATTTCATTTAAGATGTTATTTGCAAATGAAAAAGTTTATTTTTCAGACAAACTTACACTGAGAAAGAAGTATTGTCATTATAACTACCAGAATATGGTAAATTTTAATGTGTTTCTGGCTCTATGGAGTACAAAAAGCTAGGTAATTTTTGCTGAAATGCTTTAATGATTTTTGCATAAACAATAAAATATGGTTTCATACTATGAGATAAAATTTGATAAATGTTGTAAATTTTTGCAATTTATCATGAAACATCTTAGAACATGGCATTAAAACCATTTATTTCGTTAAATTTAATTTTTAGTTTTGTATTTTTTACTAAACGTGTGGTAATAAGGAACTATAATTTTGCAAACCAAAATTTCCGGTAAACCATTACCATATGAATGGGAAAATCTTATTTAAATGTCGTATAGTTTGGTATTATCGACCTGAATTTTGTTATTGTTTTTTTATCGGTTGTTGTCATTGCCATACAGTACGGTAATTTTACCAGAATTTTTTTCTCCGTGTATAAATAAATCTAGGTAGTGTGTATGTACATCATTCAAAATATTACTATAAAGTAATTTTGAGTCAAAATAATGTGTGTTAAACATTACCATCCATGGAAATTCCTTCTCTAAAGCATCCCTACCACCTATAACTCGAGGAGATAATTCTTCATCAGGATCTAAATAAATAAAAATGAATTGTTTCAACTTAAATTAACTTTAAGAACAAGCAGTAAAACATTTACATTTTTCAGCTAGTTAAGCTTTTTTTTATTTAAAACTAATCAAACATATATATTTTAACTGAACGCATATGGTACCTTCCATTGTGAAAAAAATATATTAATGTATGCTGAATATCGTAACTGTTTAAAGTGTTTAAGTATATAAACTTATTTTTTAATGATCTACTACATCTTTTATTAGGCTTGCAATCTCAAAGATGATTGTTAAAGCTTAAGACCTTTGTGAAAATAAGATAAAATGATGCTTCAACTTAAACTTAAGGATTCTTCTTATTATTATTATAAAAATAATTTTCATGCGATATTTTTAATTAAAAATGCTTAAAAAAATAGTGAAATTGAAGGAGATTACTATTGAAGAATAAATAGGGAGAAGTAGCTAGAGCTTTTAAATTGGAATTTTTTGATCGTTAGTAACATATCAACTCCGGCTCCCCATTTGGGAATTTCTTAATATTGCAAATGAGCAAATTGAAGGAAGTTCAAATTAAAAAGAACTTCAATGCATCATTTACCACTCTAATTGTAATAAATGAATTTTATTTCTTTGGGGAGAAAAATACTATTTTGTACGTACAGGACTTTCAGAAGGTAAATATACATTGAGTTCTTAAACAATTGAGTTAAAAAGTGCAAATTTTGAATAAATAAAAAAATACAAATTGCATCGTATCCAATTTCTGTAACAAAAAATTCGATTTTTCACAACAACTATATAAAAAGAAAAGAAAAGATTATAAAACTGGAATTAATTTTGATTTTAAAAATATCTTAAAATATATTTTTACTGTTTCATATTAACATATTTGTTTTTAATTGGTAATTAAATGAAATTTAAAAATAATTAAATTAATTAAAAAAGTTTTAGAAAATAAAATGCAGTAAACCTTACCTGTCAGGAAGCGATCAAATGACACAATGTCCTAAAAAATAAATACATTTTTGAAGATTAATTTTAAGCTTTATAACTACAGTAGCATGAAAAGAATCAAATTTCTTATTTTTTATAAATAACCATTTGAAAGAATTGCTAATTTAAACATTCCACAATAATTCAATGACATTTAAAAAATTTTGAAATTTCATAACATTAAAACTCTATTTGAATTTATAAAATGTGTATTTGTTTTACTGTTATAAAAATTTTATATAAATAGTAACACCTTTTGTTCTTTTATAGAACCTGTAAAGAAAAAATTATTAAATAGCTAAATGTTTCTTTTTTTACTTTTAATTTGAAATTTTTTGCAGGAAAGAATTCAAAAGTAATATATTCTGCAAAAATTTATTTAATGCATTTAGTACAACATATTAAATAGAATATATTAAATAGAATATAATAATTATAATATATTAAATGGAGTATATTAAAAATATATTTATAACAGAATTGTATTAAGAACATAATACAAGAAAAATATTAGTAACAGTTAAACTCTTCTCCTAAAATTCACTAATTTATCTCAGCTTTAAATTTATCTAAAGTTCTTCTTTTAGTTTTATTATCATATAAAGCATAGTTAAGTTTATAAAAATTATTTCTTTTTTAATATAAAAACTTTAAACAATAGACATTTTTAAATTCTTATTAGTTTTCCATTTTTACTTCAATTCATTTAAACCAAACAGATAATCGCAAACGGCAGAGATACTCAGTTTATGCTTTTAGAATTACTTATGATTTTTGTAATTATTTATCAGTTATCTGTTTTTACTTCAATTCATTTAAAACGAACTGATAATTGCTAGCCACAAATATACCCACATTTATACTTTTAGAATTACTTATCATTTTTAAACATACTTATTAGTTGTCCATTTTTACTTCAATCCATTTAAATCAAACTGATAATCACAAACTAGAAAAATACTCACATTTATACTTTTTGAATTACTTATTATTTTGAAACATACTTATTAGTTTTCCATTTTTACTTCAATCCATTTAAACCAAACTGATAATCACAAACTACAAAGATACTCACATTTATGCATTTAGAATTACTTTTCTTTTTTAGAATTACTTATCATTTTTAAACAAACTTATAAGTTTTCGATTTTTACTTAAATCCATTTAAACTAAACTCAGAACCACAAAACACAGATATACTCACATTTATACTTTTAGATTGGGATACAACTACAAGAGCTGCTAGAGCTGCTACTACTAGACTGAAAGCCATGATGAGATTGGTGATTCTCCATTGCTCAAGAACTCTTATATATACCTTAATACTGTATGGGTACCCCGTTTCCAATAAAATATTATTATGGATATATATTATTCTTATTAGATGGTCAATGACACCGAAGGTATCAAATAAGATGTTATTTCAAAGCAAATCTTGCAGATAGGGGTGCCTGTATACCGCTGAATCCAAACAATGTCTGCGTTAGAAAGATAAGAATAATTAATGTTTAGATAAGACTCTTGTCTACGGACATTAAATATTTCCTTGACACATTGAGTCCAAATTGGAAAAAAAGGTAACGGGTGATTATTTTTGCTCTAAATGATGTAACAATCTGTGTTAAGCTGTTTTAAATTGCATTTTACCTTGGAATTTTTTTGATTAAGACTGTTCGTTTAAAGATTGTTCATATTATTAGTTTTATATTGTATCTTAATATCTTTTTTTGCTATTTTAACAACAAACAATAAAATAATAATTTAAATTATCAATTTTTTAGTCTCCGCTGCTTATTATCTGCACTTAAGTTTAGTTATACTTGAAGGGTACGTACTATATGGAGCAGTCTGATTTTACAGATTTTTTTTTTGTTTGTTTTTTTCTTTTGAAAAAAATATAATTTAAGGCTTTTTATCTTTCGTTACTCTCCAAATTATAAATAAAAATCATGTAATCCTTCTCTAAATTAGTTTTTTATAATATAAAAAAAACATGTAATTGTGTGTATGATTCTTGTCATTCCGCATTAAAACAAAGTAAAATAAACTTACAAATAAATGAATTATTATTAGTTAAAAGATTTAGAAAAGCTTAAATTATAGTGAGTCGAAAATTTTAATAAAAATTCTATATTTACGTTTTTTAAAGTATTTATAACTTTTACATGAGTTTTTAAAAGTCCAAAAACCATAAGATTTTATTATAATCTCTTAGACAAATTACATCGCGATATAAGAAGATCTAAACAAAATTTTCAATGTAATTTCTTATGCATTGCAAAATAAGTGAGAAATCTGCATAATATTTATAAACGATTTTTACAGTTCTACAGCTCTAAAAACTTTTAAAATGCAGAAAACAAAAAGTTTAATTGCAGAATTCGAAAACTTCAATTTTGAGAAGTTTTAAATGTATTTTTTTAAATGAAACCATGCATTTTTGCTTTTGTCTAAAATATAATTTGTATACTGTGTGACTGCCACTATAAAAAAAGTTTTCTTAAAAGAGAGCAAAAATGTGTCAAAATAACTACGTAACAAATATAGTCGAATTAGAAATCCCCATTTGAAAGTCATGCTCAAAATTATTTTTTAATCAAAAAACGAAATCTCAAAAATTATATAATTTACTCATTTTATGCAATTTGGTTTTAAACGAGAGTAGTCTCAAAAATAAGTAAATACTGTTTTCAGCATGTCACTAACCTCAATAATGAGTACATAGGGTCTTCAAATTCGTCTATATTTGTTACAGAGCTTTTTTGAAACATTTTTGCTCAATTTTGAGAAACCTTGCTTTTACACTATAAAATATTTATAATATGTTTCATGACATCTATTTGTAAAATGTAATACTAACGTTTCTTGAAAACAAACAATTTTTCCTTTCTGAGAGCAAAAATAAAAATTTACTAATTAAAATACAGAAAATGTACAGCTTTTTTTTCATTGAACTTGTTAAAAAACTTTATTAAGTTTGCAGAATGAGTTTACAAATTTGCTCAAAAATACTAAGTTTGCATTTCAGTTCTTTGAAATATCATGAATATCGACTCACATAATTTGAAATGAGGATATCCATTTAAAGCTAACTCATAACGAGTTAAACTTCAATATGTACAAAGTTATTAAAAGGGAAAATCTTATACACAAAAAAATTTAAGTAAGCAAAAAATATATATATATATGTAAGCAAAATGCATAAAGCAATGTAAAATTAAGAATGTATAAAATAAAAAATGACTTCTTTAAATAAATTTAAACACTACTGAATGCAAATCATACAGTTTAAATAATATGAAATTTATTTTAAAAAATAAATTTTTATAGTCCTGATTTTTCAATAATAAAAAAAGATTGTGCTTAATTTGTCTATCGGCATTTAAGAACTCTTTAAATGAGCACTATATTTTAATAATTTAAATTATACTTTAAATCTGAAAATAGTATTTTCTACGTGCTTTAAATATTTTCTACATTTTTGGAAGATAAATTTTTTTAGTTCAAATTTGAAAATATCTTTACTTAATTAATTAAATAATTGTTTTTTCCTTTATTAAATGTCATTTTCTTAAGAATATACTACAATGATTTTTCTCGTGTTCTTTTCTCGTGTTAAGATATGTGCTTTTATTAAAATAGCTTCTTAAATAAGCAATTTCTTACATTTTTAAATTTTGTTTGAAAGGTCAAAATGTCAAAAATTTTAGAAACAAATGCGTTTTAAAATATTTCAAAGGAACAAATAGAAATGCAGCTATTAGACCGATTTAGCTCTTTCACTTAGCCTCCTACACGATCACATACGTAAATTCAACACAGTGCAGCTACTAGAAAAATATATTGGCCCCCTAGAGAACGTATGCGAAAGCAAGCAGCAATGCGTGAAAATGCTAAATCTCTCTAATAATCAACTCGGTCCTAGTTTTAAAGCAAGGGTGAATCCTTATTTCAACTTATCCGGCAGCACTTCTTATGTTGACATTTTATTGTTTATTTCTTGATTTCAAAAATTCTCTAGTTTTTTTAATGTGCGGTAGTTTCTCGTTTTAGTTTCTTACTAAGTATACTTTTTTTTTACTTTTTGTGTCTTTTAAAGTATCAAATTTACTCATGTTCATTTTATGCAATACTTTGCAGTGTGTTTACCACTACAAAAATACAATTTCAATTCACTAGTATATAAGACATGTTAACTTGAGTCTATGGTGGGGTACCTTTTTATAGATGAAGGTTGACACTGTCGATAGCTACTCACAATCTGCACAACTTTATCCAATAAATACTAGTAATTTTAGTTAATTTTTAAAATTAACGTCTTTGTAAATTTTTATGTTACAATTTCAAAGACCTTTTTCAAAGGAATGAATTATCAATGTTACTAGATTTGAGGAAGTGAACATTTTGTTCTCGATCTTTCAAACAAACACATTGTAAGAATCAGTTAAATATGTTAATATTAGCGTTATTGTTGCGTAGAAAAATAATTGCTATAACATATAAAATCATTTATTGGAATGGTATTGAAACTTAGTTCCATGTAGGTAGTAAACGGGGATGATAAAAGTAAGGGGATGTAATTATTAAATGGATTTAAAGAGCCACGAGATCTATAATCTTGACACGAAATAGGATTTTGAAAGGTAGGAAACATTCAAGATCAAAAAAATACTAAATGAAGATTGATAAATTTAAGACTTGTAATGGAACTCAAAAGCCTAAATTTCATTGGTGAAAAGCTTCATAATATGAAATGGCTCTCGAAATGCTGCGATATCTGGGAAATTCAGCAAAACCTATTGTTCAACAATATCAAGTATAGCCAAATGAGACTTGTTTCTTAAATTCCTGTCTTAATATTATTACAAAACAACATTAATATGAAGAGAAGAATATGAAATTGAGTGAAATGAAATACTATGAAAGATTCGTTGATCCTGTTCCTGACCTCAAGATAGTAAAAATGTTAAAATTAACATCCTTTTTTTTTAAATGAGTAATAAGATTTAGTATTAATTTTTGTTACGTTAATGCAGTTTTCATTAAAAATCAAAGACCATAGGTATTAAAATGCGTCATATACATAAATTTCCACAATAAGTTTTGCGATCAAGCCCACGAAAAGAATCTAAGCACCAATAAGGAAATTTTTTCATTGACTTCAGAAATCCCAAGAATGAAAACGAGTAAATTTTTTAATAAGCAGAAGATAGTCTTCGGAAGTACGTGGAAAATGCTAAAATATTCTTTTTTAAAATTGTCAAAAGAAATGGCTGAATGCTGATTCAATAAATTGGAAGCATTCTACAAAAGCAGAATCAGTACCTTATAATAATTCAAAATTTATCTCATTTATTTATTTATTGCAGTTTTACAGATTATTGCTTAAAAAGAGTAATTTGTTTTTTATGTATATTTTTGCCGACTAACCGTTAAATGACAGACGGCATTGTAATCTCTATCTAGAGTGTTAAAAAAATAACCAAAGAAAAGTAGACTATTATGATAAAAACTGTAGAAAATACATTTGCTACAGCTAAAATATTAAAATACTCTTTTCGAAACGAAAATTTAAAGCATTTATAATATTGTGAGAATCAGGCATTGAACTATTGTTTATAAGAATTAATTTTAGTCGAAGCATTATGGTATGAATATTATTTCCATTTATAAGCAAATGTGCATAATGTTTCTGCGATATTCTTTTCCAATACAAAGCAAATAAACTAAGATTTTATTAGTAAAAAAATATATTCACTATTTTTGAATGGAATAAATTAACAAGGTATTCTAAACAAATCATTTAAGTGCTAGATCACAAATAAAAATACCTCTTTAGTTCTTTTATTATTGAATTTCATTACTTGACATTCAAATGGGAAAACATAAAAAATTTTCAATTGAAAACAATCTCTTATCTTTTTATAGAATCGGAAACAACAAAATATCATTGATCATCCCTAGATCGAACAGAAAACAGAACTGAAGTTTGAATTATTTTGTGATAAAGTTTCTCTACACTCTGTCTTCATAAAATGCATAATAATAAAATTATTACTTTATTGACGGTGCTGTTTAAAATGTAAAAACGCGAAATTCGTGTTTTTTCCCCTTTGTATAAAGAGCTAAAATTTTGAAATGAAAATAACTGAAATTAATCAATATCAGAACAAATTATAAATTTCACTTAGCTTTTTACGATATAAAGATATAAGTAATAACAATTAAAAAAACCATTCAATCAAATTCTAAAAAGACTCCCATTAAGGATTCTGCATAATTTCAGAAAATATTTTTATTAGTGGAAGCAAGGGTAATCAAATAGACAAATGCTTGAATTCTTAAATTTTATTTATTTCATAGAAAAAATTCTGTTTAAATCAAAAGGATCTGTTTTAGTTCACTACCAATAAAAAAATAATAATACGCAACAGCTTCATATAGTTTGAATTGTTATGGACACCAAACCTTTTACACAGCTTTATTAAGCTACCACAAGGTGCCGCAATCAAATTTAATCAATCAAGTCAAATATAAGGGTCAGTCACAGTGTATGCAAAAGTATCGCATGTGCGGAGAGGAGAGAGAGAATCTGTTTTTTTTTTCCTTTTTTTTTAATTATTATTTTACGCTGCAGGTAATTTCTGCAGGTATTTTTTTATTCAAGGAGCATTCTCACTGAGCATTAATGCTATTCGAGCGTACGCGAGAAGTCGATCTAGACCATTCTCACTGCCTAAGATCTTTTCCGACGAATGAAAATCGGATTAGTTGAAAATATTTACCCTGGAAAAACTTGCCAATCAGGATCTCAATCGCATGTTATTTTTTCGTCGCATTTATTGAGAATGACTCTTCAGGTTCTCAAGTAGGACCATTCTTACTGGAAGTTACTTATGCAAGTCCACTCGCCGACGAGGGAGAATGAGATTCACCAATTACGTTCTTCATTTTTCTATGCCGAGATTAAAAATGCGTGAACTGAGTTTAGTAGGAATGACCCTTCCGCATCTCTAAATTCGCATACGCGATTTACGGAGTGTCCTTTAGCTTTATTTTATTTAATCAAAATGCGGTTGTTACTCGCCAAACAGGTTCTCGATGCATCCAACATATTTCAAATTCGCATGATGCATTCGCTTGCTGATGCTCTCTGTAAAGATGGAATCGAGTGTGGGTGTTTCAGTCCTGATTGGTTGTATAAACTCGGCAATTGCTTACGTAACCAATTTGACTCTTCTTGAAGGGCAAGTGGTCCATTGAGGGCTAGTTACAACAGCAAAATTTTGCATGCAGTGAAAATAACCCTTATGTTCCCGGCTATTCTGTCATATTAATCGAAACCGTGGGTTACGCTTGCTTTATCTTTTATTTTGTTTATTTACGTTCTGTTGAGGTTTTTCCCAAGGAACAGAACTACTGCAGTAGATGTATCGCTATCTGCAAATTTTATTCCTTAATATTCGTAAAAACCCAAAACTGCTACCATTTCCTGCACTAAGCACGTGTAAAACCTCTGTATTTTGCTTAGAATCATCCCAGTTCGCTGTCAAGCAAAGATTTTCTGGTATATTTACTTCAACCTCTAAGTGGTCAGTAATGGAATTTTCACAAGATAAAGGTATAAAATTTTCAAGTTCTTTAAAAATGTTTTTGTGCAGTTCATAATTTATTGGATATTTTTTTTCTTTTTATATACTTTTAGTTTTCTTAAAATACTTATTTTTTAAAACATTTTAATAATCTTTTGGAGTTTAGGGTTTTATATTAACTGCTCTAAATTATTCAACGCTAGTAATTTTTAAAAAAGTTACGTGAAACGTAGTATTATTTTCGATCCCTGTGAATGAATGTTTTCTAAAATAGATTTAAAACACTGCCTAGTTACGTCTGACCCTCAAATTCAAAGACTCTGTCTTAAATGGTAAATTATGTGTAAACGATTCCATTCGTATAAATTTGCCCATAATAAATAATTGATTTTACTTCACAATGATTGTTCTCGATGCTCTTAATATATTACATATTTTTATGTTTAATAAAAATTGAATTAATTTGTAAATTTTGTTTCATAATTTCTAAATATTTTTGTTTTGCTTTAAAGGAATCTATGTTTTTAGGAAATAATAAAAGCTAAACTATTAACGTTGCTTATGACACTTAATTAATTCTGATGATACGTAATGGTTACTTTGTGAAAAAGGACCTTATTTCCTTAATAAGGACACTTTGCAACCTTAAGCTGATTAAGTACCAAGGAATTTCTTACATATAATATAGCTACAATATATACATACATCTATACATAATAAAGCTATAACTAGAAATGTATTGAATTGTAACCAAAACTTTCTAATGTTACTACAATAAATAAGTAAAATTGTCTTTTGCGCTTTTCCGATAACTGTTAAAATGGCCACATATTGTGAGAATAACAGAGTTTAGCTAAATTAGTGCTGAAAATGTTCTTCTGCAGGAGATAACTTAACTTTGGATAAATTGGAAACTTCACCAATAGAATGGCTTCAAAATATTTCTAATGACTAGGGTTCACTCCAGTATGGCAACAAAATTGTCTTGAAATGTGTTGCAAAAAAACACAGAGCTATAATCGATAATCAGAGAGCTCGCCGCACTTAACTATACTCAATACTCAAAATTACGAAAAATATTTTTTTGCATCAGATGCCATTAAAATTTTTGTATTTTTTATTGTTCTGTGCAGAGGTTAGATTTTAGTTTGAAAATTTTTCTAACAGGATAATTGAAAGTGTCTGGTACAATAGATTTGTAATTTCTATGTTAATATTTCTAATTTACATGTTGTACTTATGTATTTACAGTATAATTGTTCATCAATAAAACATTGTTTTTTGCTCTTTTAGATTTGACTTTATTTAGAATTTTATGGCTTTTAGATAATTAATATTTAGTAAAATGCTTTGCTAGTTCTTACATCTTCTATTAACTTTATTCATTTATTTGGTCTAAGCATTTTAACTTTATGGTGAATCCGTTTACTAATATTATTTTAACTTTTTTTTCATTTAATTTTAATTAATATTAATCTTTAATCATTATGGGGTAATGGACCTAATTAATTTTAAGGTGTAATAGACAATTACTAATTTTTGATATGTACCATAACATTAATTATGAAATTGTAAAATTTGATTTCTTTTTCTTAAGTTTGTTTACCGTGTTAGGTTTTGGACCTCTAAAGGAATACCTATGCGGTATTATTAAGCCTCTAAATTTTTTTTAAGGTGTGAACCCTACTAATAAACAATATGATGCTGTAAAAACACACTATGTAACATCAAAGGCAATTTATAAGCTGAAATCGACAATAAATCTGAAACATTTACTGTGACATCTAACAACAATGATGACAGAACCAAGTTTGCAGTATGGCTTATTTAAACACATCCTGATTTGCATAAGGTCAGTGCCAACTCGATCTAAACAGTGTAGTCTGTTATGATCATCGCAAATTTAAAAGTAAATGACGATAAATTATGTGATTGTATCCTACATCTCTGCTCTCTGATGACAAACTGCACAATTATCACAAAGGTGTGAATAAGAAAATCCCAAAAGTGGAGATATATAAGAGCTGTTTCTTACATTCTTCTTGCTATTTTTACATCATAAAAATAAAAAAATTATGTTCAAGATAAATGAAAAATAAATTTTGAATCAATGTAGAATTATAATATGTGCAAGTGTTTATGCAATAGCAGAATTTACAGAGTCAATCTGCAGCATTGTATTTAAAAATTTAAATTTGTTTGTGACTTCAATGCAATAAGACATAAATTACAATAGAAAAAATACAAATTAAGCTCAACCTAATGTGTACTTTGCAATATTTGCAAATATTAAATAAAATAAAGTTATACACAAAAATTTTCTGTTATTTACATTTCATTTAAATTTTATGCAAAGAGATGCTTATATAAAGTCCTAAAGAAATCAGAAAGAAAGAATTTACTTTCAGGTGATAATATTGAAGTTGTCTTTTCACTTATTTAAAAAAAAAAAATTTTATTTATGGTGCTCTAATTTGTGCTTATTTAAAGTTTCTTCAAATAAAGTATGATGCCATGCTATCACAGGTAATTTGGCGACAAATAAAGCAGTAACCAAAAAATTTATTTACCGTTTTCAGTATCACATTTTTTTAAAAAAATTACTTATTCTATTTCTTACCTTTTATAAAAGAAAATCTAATACCTAATCTTTTCTTTTTCACTTAATCTTCAACTTTCACTTGTTCTTGTTTTTTTCTACTTGAAATTGTTTTTTTTTTTTTTTAAATTAAATTACTGGTGCGGGAAATAATTTGCAGCAGGGTTGGCAAGTTTTTGACACATGATGGTTTTTACCTCTTTATACCATGGTTTTTACCGTCATGTCAANGTCTGTTATGATCATTGCAAAATTAAAAGTAAATGACGATAAATTATGTGATTGTATCCTACATCTCTGCTCTCTGATGACAAACTGCACAATCATCACAAAGGTGTGAATAAGAAAATCCCAAATGTGGAGATATATATAAGAGCTGTTTCTTACAGTGATGCACTTTACTCCATATTCTTCTTGCTATTTTTACAACTTATAAAAAAAAAAAAAAATTATGTTCAAGAAGGATAAAAAATAAATTTTGAAACAATGTAGAATTATAATATGTGCAAGTGTTTATGCAATAGCAGAATTTACAGAGTCAATCTGCAGCATTGTCTTTAAAAATTCAAATTTGTTTGTGACTTCAATGCAATAAGACATAAATTGCAATAGAAAAAATATAAATTAAGCTCAATCTAATGTGTACTTCGCAATATTTGCAAATATTAAATAAAATAAAGCTATACGCAAAATTTTTCTGTTATTTACATTTCATTTAAATTTTATGCAAAGAGATGTTTATATAAAGCCCTAAAGAAATCAGAAAAAAAGAATTTATTTTCAGGTGATATTGTTGAAATAGTCTTTTCATTTATATATATATATAAAAAAAAAATTTTATTTATGGTGCTCTGATTTGTGCTTATTTAAAGTTTCTTCAAATAAAGTTCATTAGCATGCTATCACAGGTAATTTGGTGACAAATAAAGCAGTAACCAAAAAATTAATTTTATTGTTTTCAGTGTCAAATTTTTTTTAAAAATTACTTATTCCATTTCTTACCTTTTATGAAAGAAAATCTAATAATCTTTTCTTTTTCGCTTTATCTACTTGTTCTCGTTTTTTTCTACTTGCAATTTTTTCTGCATTTTTTTTTTAATTACTGATGCGGGAAATAATTTGCAGATGCCGGTATAATTCACAACTTCAATTGCCATGTTGGAGGGTTTTCTAAGTGGAAGATTAAATGCTGCCTAGCTATAACTAAACAAATTTTGAATTGTTAATACATAGGAAATCTAGCTACTTATGTTCTTATAGAAAATAAAGCCTTTAAGTGCATCAATTACATAAAATTCATTTTGTTAAACTTGAACTAAAATCATAGTCATATTTAAAAGTTTACAAAACCAATTTAATTCATATGTTATATATTATTAAACTAAAAAATAACTACAGTGGTATAAATATTATTTAATACAGAAATACAGTTAATGTTGAAGAGTTTTTTCGAAAACTTGCTTTACAAAAAATAAGTGCAGTATTGAAATTAAAATTAAAAAACCTAGTTAATAATTAATAAATAAGTAATAGTACAATTTGTCTTTATGAAAAGTTGTGCATATTACCCTGATTTTACATCTTGTTTTTATGTTTAGTCTTTATTATGAATACCTGATTAATCAGTATTGTGAACATATTGTTCTTAACTTATGTGGGTATTGATTGCTGCTAATAATATACTCTCTTTTTGTCAAAATATATTTATTGTTACATTAAGTTTTTAATGTGAAACATTCTTATGATCTATTTTTATTGATATCATTAAATTTTTATTCTTTCCTTTCAGATAAATATTTGAAAATGAGTCTGGATGAAAAAAGAAATCAGTATCATTGTAAATCTAAATATGTTACCTTAGACAATATTCCTAGCTGGAAACAATATTCTGTTAAAGTAAAGTCTCATCATTCTTCATCAGGTATTCTTTTATTATTTGATTCATACTATGATATTTATGTGATTTTCTTTTTGTAGAGAGCAAAGTAGTTTTTCTTTTAAAATCCAAGCAAGATCCTAAGAGGATAGTTAATATTTATTATGTGTCTCTAATGTAAACTTCATAACTAAGAAATTTTTTTCTGTAAATTTATAAGGCACTTTATATATTACGGTTTAGACAGATTTTGGGTACATTGGTATTTTTTACGATATCTGATTTTTAAGTTTTGACTGCAGCTTAGTTTGTTTTGGGACTCTTAAGGTTTTTGATCAATATTATAAATTAAAATTAAGATTCCAAAATTGCACTTGATTATTTATTGATAAAAATGTCATGTTACCAAAATTTCTGATTTTGCTATGAGGGCAATTGACCTGATCAATAAAGGTGGCTAGTTTAATTTATATTTCCTTGGTGGATATTAATTCTATTTTTTAAATGATGTATTTTGCTATTTATTGTTTATCGGAGCAAATTTTTGTCCATTTCAGAATATTCAAAAAATGATAGCTTGAATGAAAGAGTATCACTCTTTGTTGGTGACATCACTGCCTTAGAAATAGATGCAATTGTGAATGCTGCCAACAATTCACTTCGTGGTGGAGGAGGAGGTATTGTTTTCAGGAAGATTTTTTTCGTCTCTCTCTAAACAATCATTGTTTTTTTAGCTTTTTAATAAATTCTTGGATACTTAAAAAGTCAGAAGGTAGAAATGAAGAAATTTTAATCACTTATCTAATGAACCAGGAACTAAAAGATTACACTAATCGGTACACATTTTGACTGGGAGACTGACATGCCTCTGTTAGATTTTAAAAAACATATGCAAAAATTTATGAAACAAATCTAATTTTAGAAAATACAATACTGTTTGGTAACTGTTAGGTGATATAGTTAGCACCAAATGCATTTCCATTTAATGTAGTCTATTTTCTTAGTATTTTGATAGCGTCACAATAAGCATATGGTTGCTCTTTTTTATTAGTATTCATTTCACAAATTCTGTTATTATGTTTGTTATGGAAAAAAGTTTCTGCTGTTTTTCTATACAGACTATTACTTTCTTATAAAAATTAAGCTGTTAAATAACCTACAAATGTTTTTTTTTAATGAAAAAAATTGCAAATGAAACTTTAACGTGTATCATAATTTTATCATATGTTTTAATAATATGTTCAAAAATAAAAACAACAGATTAGTGTTTTCTTAATAATAATTTTTTTAAAAAAAGAAATGGATCCTTATACAACTAAATTATTAATTATTTCTTAATTTTGGTGCTTATTTTTTTTAACATTTAAACTTTTACACCTTTTAACTTTATGATTGCATTGAATATTATTCATAAATATTTTTGTATGTATAGTCGATGGAGCAATACATAGAGCAGCTGGGCCTAAGCTGCTAGCAGAATGTTGTACTTTAAATGGCTGCCCTACTGGTGAAGCAAAAATTACTGGCGGATACAAGTTGCCTTCAAAATGTATGCTATATTTTTATTTATTTATTTTTTCTTGTCATGCACTTAAAACTTTTAATATATTAACTTACTTAGTGTTTGTCATACTTAGATTTCTCCTTTTACCCTGCAAAAACTGAATATTTTTTTTTTAGTTTGTCATGCTCTTAAGACTTTTTATACATTAACTGACATTATCTCTGCTGTTGACTGTGCAAACAAAAAAGCTGTGTATTTGACTGAAATATCTTTTCAAAACTACCCAAATGTGAAAGTCTCTGTCTGTGATATGCATGCTTATGTTATTGATAATTTTTTGAAAATTAAAGTTTTTGGTGAATTGGTATGGAATTATTACCTCAAAATTCTGACTCTCTTCCCCATTTAGTAAGATGAGAAAAAAGTAAGTTGCTTCGGAAAATAGCTGTTAAAAATAAAGAAAAAAATGTTACCATGCAATCGTATCGTTTTTTCCCAGACTTTTCCCTACTTTTTAAATTTCCTAGTAAAAAGGAAAGTTGGTGTTTCTTATTTTGTTGTTTGAAAGCGTAGCTACGCAAACATGCTTGAATTTCATTTGCTTACGTCATTTGGTATACATTTTGCTATTGTTTAATTTTCTATCTTGCAAAGATGGTGAAAATGCAGAATGGTTTTGGCTTACAACAGGCTTAAATGTTCAATATTTTTTTAGCAACATTAATGGATGGATTCTGATAAAACAATGCAAACATCAATATTTTGGTCATATTATAGGATATCTTTTTAGAATATATATACCGTATTTGTAAATCCCAAAAGATTATTGTTTATAAAATTTCAAAAAGAGTATTTAACATTTTGTGCTGTTTTTTTTTTCAAGGCACTATTTTTTTTATTGTAAAACTTTGAAAATAGTAATACTTAGTCAGCTTGTGCTTCTTTTTCTACAAACTGTATTTTTTTCCTAACTATGTTTGCACTAAAAAACTTGATCCTATAATTCTTTTTCTAATAAATACACAGTACTCGTTTATTTATGCATTATTCTTGCACGACAGTTAAAAGAATGCATAAGTGAGAAAGGTTCATTATTGAAAACTTATAAAATTATTTAAACAATTCTGTTATTTTGGAGGGAAACAAAGAAAAGATAATATTACCTTTGTAGTATTATTTTTCTCCAGGATTTTCCTTGTTTTTTTTAACTTTCATTGTGAATTTATTTTTATGATTTGTTTTCGTTTCTTTTATAAGAAAGTTATAGTATTTTTTTTATTTATTTTTTTTCATTTGAAAATTCAGGCAAAATTGAGCATTCAAGCAAAACAAACATGATTAAATTCAAATTTTATTTGCATATGTAATTTAGTGTATATTTTTATATTTCTATCTGGCCAAGATAGGAAATTGTAGAGTAGTCTTGGATTACAAAGGCTGGTTTACCTTTCCTTACTACTCATGTTCCTGTCTGAAGTATATTTTCATAGAAACTGATTTTTAAAAAAAGAGTAAAATGAGAAATATTTGCTTCAAAATAACAAAACATAAATTATCAGAATCTGTTCAGTTACATTAAAGGAAGATACAATGCAGATATTAATATATTGGTCATATTATTTTAATATATGTGCTGCATTTGTGAATACTTCAAGATTTATTGTTCATAAAATATCAAAGAGAACATTTAATATTTTAGAGCGTATAACATGAATATAGATTTTTTTCATAAACAACTTCTTCAATGAGTTTACCGTTTTCATGTGCGTAAATGTCTAGAGCTACTGACACCCTGGTGGCTCTTGCTCCTTTTATTTTTTTCATTCTTTTTGTGTATTATGTATAACATTTGATTTCATTGTTTTAAAAACATGCAGTTTTCAGTAGCATATGTGTTAACTGGTTTAGGCTTTTGTTGTATGTTATATTGAGTAAAGTAATTAAGACTTGTTAAATTTTTTTTCTGTATGTGTCAAAATACTGTAAGTTGCTGTCTGAAACAAATGTTTTTTTTTATTTGTTTTTTTCGCCCCTCAGCAATTTATGCAGTCATGAAGCTTAATCAATTTAATCAAGAACATGTAAATATTCCCTAGCAGCAAAATAACTTGGGCCCTCATTGGACCAATATTCGCAAGTCTTGACTCAATAAGGTTTCAGAGGCCGATATTGGCCCTAAATGGAATTTGCGATTCACCCAATATTTTATAATTATTATTCAGCCAATATAAGCCCTATATTAGCCCTATATAGACACTGCAATGTCAATATAGATATTGACATTGCGTAGGACCAATATTAAGAAATATAGACATCCCAATATTGGTCCTTTGGAGCATGTTCATATAGAGCCCATCTTGAGCCAATTTTGAGCCCAACTGGGGACAGGGTATAAATGTTGCTAGGGTTATTACATAGGCAGACCTGCCAACTCTTCTGCTTTTAGCAGGAGTCTCCTGCTTTTGCCTCAAATCTTCGCCCTCGGGCCTTCAGGGTGTTTTCTCCTGCTTTTTTCTATTTAGTGCAAGATAGAGGAAAAAAACAACAATTTGTGCAATTTCCTTCCCAACTTGTGCTTCAGATCATGCTGGGCATTTATTTAGAAAAANCTGTAACTGTTTTAACCGGCCTGGTCATTATCAGTTATGATCAGTTTTCACCTCCTAAATTCACAATTCAATTAATTTGTTAATACTGACCAATTATATATCAGTAGCATTTGTTAAAACTGATGAGGGTATGAATTGAAGGATAAAACACTTATTAGTCGTAGTACATTTAATTAATCTAAATAAATTTTATATAAATATTATAACTTGGACTCATTCTGGAAAATCAAAATAATATTGCATTGAAATTTGCCTGACTTAAATCTAATCTTTAATTTTTAAATATACATAGAACTGATGTAAAACTTATGTACATAAATGTATTTATTTTAAAGAAATATGTATATAGCATGAACTGTTGGACAAAAATCCATAATGAGAAATTCTATAACAGTCTGATTTTGTGATGATGTTATCAAGTATGGGTACTATAATTTGAATGCTAAAATGTCTTGAATTTATTGTTACTAAAGTAACTATGTAAATAACGGCATTTTGCTTTATATACATTGTATGCATGCCTTTGCATACATTGATACATACAATGGTTTTGCATGCATCAATGTATACATCGGTATATTCTGAATAAATGTATAGTTTTGAAAAGGAATTTTTTTATATCTCAATTAACTTGTGTATCCAATGAATTTGTCAATCATTATAATCACCTAATTATACTTTTTAATAATATGTGTATTTTCAATTATATGTAGATGTGATCCATACTGTTGGTCCTATTGGAGAGAAACCTGATTTGCTCAAAAACTGCTATTGGAACTCACTATCTATTGCCAAAGAAAACAATTTAAAAAGTGTTGCATTTCCTTGCATTTCTACTGGGGTTTATGGTTATCCAAATGAAAATGCTGCCCATATAGCTTTAAAGACAGTTAGAGAATTTTTAGAAAAGAATGAAAATTCGGTAAATATTTATTTATGCTCAGAAAAATTGTGACTTTTATTTCTTTCTAGTAATGTGATTGTATTATTAATTCCAGTGTCGTTCACTCTTTGTTATAGTATTATATGAAAGCCTTATTTGATTAGTAAGTGTGATATAACGTATAATTTTTCCTCCTTTTCCCTTCTTCATTCAGATACTTCCCAAAATCACAATTGGCCAAATAAATGGTAACCAGTTAACAACACAAATATTTATTAACAAAGAAAAAAAAANCATCATTTTGATAAATCAAAGAATTATAAGCGTCCGGTGTAATTAAACAAGGGATGTTTAGTTTATCTGTTAAAGCAAACAAAATATTTGAACTATAAAATAGACAATCGTCAGGGTTTTTATAATATACTGGCAATATAGCTAATTTCGCCTCGATTTGTTCTTTAAATGCGGATTGTAAAATTATTTTTCCCTTAGCTTCGATTTGACAGTATGACAGTAAGTTTACTCATTAATTGTCATGTTCATACTAATCCTTTCTCCTTTGTTCTAAATCTAGTACACCTCCAATTTATTTCTACTGCCAAAAAGAGGGCACAGCACAATAGAAATAATATGAAAAATAATGCATTCGTTTTGCATACTTTAAGTCTCTATATCTCATTATATCTAATCACTGGTCTTAAAAACCCTTCAAGCTGTGTTGCCTATTTTTTAGATAATTTTAATAAGCAATGGGGTAATTTCAACATTTATATTTTCTCCCTAGAAATTGTATTTTTTCTTATTATTTTAGTTTTTTATTGAAAAAGCTAGGCAATTACAGGTATAGATGAAATTTCTTTGTACAAGGGAAATCTTTTTTAGACATAATAGACTTGCTTTTGTGGCTTAGCTTTAAAACTTAGTCATTAATAAAGACTTCTAACTTTCCAGGAAACAGATATTTTCATACAGTTCCTTTCAGGTCTTCTTTTTATATTTAGAGGCATTATTTTTTTTCATATTTGTTTTATTGGTGATAAACTCATATATTTTAGCAGTTTAAATTTTATCTATGACTATTAATATTTATTTGAATGTTTAAAAAAAAATAATGAATTGGTCAATAAAGGGACATTATCAAATTAAATTATAAATCTATCTTAGAATACTATAAAAATCATTAAAAATATTTGCTTTAGAAACTTTCTTGGTGTAAAAAAACACCAGGGAAACATAAAAATTAATTGATATTATATATTACTATTTCTGTTGTTTTAGGAGTAGTATTTTTTTATATATTGAAATGTTTGCAATTTTTTACATTATTTATCATTGTTACATATGTTCCTTGTTGTAGTATAGACATTGTAATACTTTCACTTTATGTCTTATATATATTATAAAATCTATTGTGTAAGAGTATTATAATTTAGTGTTTACGTAATGCATTAGTTTTGTTGTTTTAAAGAACAGAGATGATTGTGCTCCAAAAAAATCTGGATTTCCGGATTTTTTGCTAATTGCAATTGGGAAATTTCTGGAAATCCAAGATCGAGAAATTTCAAGAAATCGTCCATTACATTTATATATAAAAATTCTTGTATATTTTATTTAGAAATAATAGAACTAGAATTTATACTTGGCCTATTTTTCTTTTGTAAATATTTTTTCTGGTAGAATAATAAATATGATTGGAGATAAAGGTAAACTTATACATAATTATTCATTTAAATTATGCTGTATATAATTTATTTAGAATTTCATGTTTTGAAAGCATCAATCACTTAAATTTATAAAGACATTAATTTTTAGAAATGCGGCATTAATGATTTTACTCAAGAAATTTTCTGGATTTTTTAGTTGTGCTCCCAATCACCCCTGAAAGAAGAAAAATATTTTCCTCTAACCCTATTTCTTATTAATTCGAAAATTTTCTCTTCAAAATTTGGTTATTTTTGCGACAGGATCACTATATAACATTGTAATGATTCATGTATAATAATGATTCATATGAATGCCTCATTAATATTAGCATATTTTTATTAAAGCCTGGTTCATTAATTAACAAAGAAAATCCAGATTTCTTTGGTTGCCATCAGCATGTAAAATTAACAAAAGTTAAAATCGTAATTTTTGTTTTTTAAATATTTCTTTAGTACTTGTTAATGATGTTCATTTATCATCTTTTCTTAGTTATTTTCTAATATTATTAAATTTTTAATTTTGATTGTACTCAACATTTAGCTGTAAACATACTCATGGAATATTCTAATTAACTAACCATTCTACTCTTATTAAACATTTACTTTTATAATAAGTTTTATACGAAATTGTATCTCGTAAAAATTTTTGAATAAAATACTGCATATGAAATTCTAAATTACAGTTAGTAATTAACTTTTTGCGCTATTGCTAAATTATATATTGGGCAGAAAATACTTAGCAGGTTTTTTATAGTAACCAAAAATTTGAGATAATTTAAAAAGCAATATTGTATATGAATTTGCAATGGTATCTTAGCTGAATAATTATGTTTGAAACGAAATCTGCTTTTGTACAATAAAACATTTTGGTTGAATACTTTTTACATCTACATCTTTTATTTGAATACTATCTATTAAATGTCAAGAGATGAAATAAAATAAATGGCTAACAATAATAAAGTTTGCTTAGCGAAGCGAGCGGGAAGCATTTCCCCCTAGTTTTGACTTAATGTTCTATGATATACACTTGAATACTGTGATACATGCTTGTAGTTTATCAAAGTAGAATAGTCAACAAAATTTTCTAAGATTTATCGACATCAAGAAAAGGTTAGAGAAAATCTTAATTGAATAATAGGATTGATGAGGATTGAAAATGATGTAGACGGTGCCTGCCGCGTAATAAAATCATGTTCTCTCTCAGAACATTTGATTTCATAAAACAACTGATTTCCTAAACCGAAATGTCTACACTTAGGAAAAAATATTTCTAACCAATATACTAAAAACTACTAATAACTTCTATACCAATACACTAAAAGTTAAATTGATTATTACCTTTACATTTTATTTTATCGCAGTTTATTGTTGATGTTTTAGTTAAACATGGAGTTCACTTTTTAATTTAAGCTAAAGATTTTGAAATTTTTTTTATTTAACAAAATTTGATGTTAAAGATTTAAAGTGGTTTAGAAGTTTATGAAAGTTTCTGTAACTTTTAACATTTCTTCTACATTGCAGTAAAGTTCTTTTTAAAATATCTGGTGTTTTTCAGCTGTCCATTAAGGATATATATACCTTGTTGAATGATTAAGTTAGTTTGTTCAGTTTTCATTTGTATTTCTTCATACTCATCATTTTAACTCTCACCTTTCAATTTTCTAAAGAAATGTAATCCACATCCATAACTTCATTCATAGGGGGTAAAATGATAGTTACTTTATGTACTTTAAACTTGAGAAAATAGAAATTTCTAATTATTGAGTCCAGAAAAAACAGTGTTTATTGTTTGAACACATGCTGTTACAGACAAATTTGATTTTACAAAACAGTAGATAAAGGATTTTGGTAAAAGCTGGTTTTAGTCTGTTCTGATATTGCAATGATTCCATTCTTACAGAGCACATTTTATAAAGCGGCTGATTTTATATTCCATTGGTTTTATTAGTGGTAGGCAGAATTTTTAAATACCCTTATTATTATTTTTTTAATTATTATTTGTATTTACAAAAGAGTAATTGCAAGTACAAACTCAACTATCGGCTCAAAATTTAAGGAAATAAGATAATACTTGTAGATTAGATAATAATGTATATAGTAGTAGATTATAGTCTTAGGTGAGCAATGATGAGTGCTACATCACCAATTTTGCTTGTTATAACTGAGGTAGATAATAACTGTTATTTGATATAGGAAATTGTATGTTTCAATTAAAATGTTTTAATTCATCCTTAAAATGGAATTCATATATTCATACCATTATAAAAATTTATTGTACTTTTAAAAATCGATTATATTTTTAAAAGCCAAATTATTTAAATGCCATTTCGTGTATCTGAGATAAACATTCATTCATTTTACCTGGCTTATGTATTCAATTTGTAATTAATAAATTAATGATCTATTTTTCATGTATTTTAAATGACCTAATAATCTAAAGTGAATAAAGAGCATATTATACCTTGCCCTTTTTGATGAACTAGTAGTGTTGAACTTTTAACTGATATTTTGATTACCGTAATATATATATTCTTCAGTAGTATACTTGTAAATTTGCCAAAAAAAAGACTAAAATTTTAATTCAACTGTCACTTTTATTATGATTCACTTAGAACTACTTAAAATGTATTGCAAAATATTTAGAATAGTGTATAGAAAATAATTACGATTAATTTATATGGAAAATTGCAACCATAAATACTCCCATTTCTAACTCTCATTTTTTTAAAATAATTTCTCCATAAAATTAATTACACTTCCTGTTAAAGGGATGCGGAACAGAAAATTTGAAATATTATTTTAAAACTATGTGTCAGCAAAATTCTGAAAAATAAATGTATAATGTTTTAAATCGAAATTTTTTTTAAAAAGAGAGAAGTTTATCTTAAAAAGAAATTTTTATATTTCAAATTTCTTTACAATGGAATTGCTTTACAATTAAATTAATTGACAAGCAAGCAACAATCAAAATTTTCAAATTTAACAATTATTAATCTTTTCTAAAATGCCAATAATAAAAAATGCTGTCAAAAAGTTTGTGTTTTTATTTATTGTAAATCAAAACATGAATTGCTATTAAAACATATTTTCAATTTATCACAAATTAAAATTTTGAATCTTGTAAGCTCTAAAAAAAATAAAATAATTCTTCTGAAATAATACAATTGGCAGTTTATGGGTAATTAATTTTTTTCTTATTTTAAAATTCATTGGTTTTATTTATTTTGAAAATAACTTTTAATGTAATTTATAAATGTACTCTTAAGGATATGATTTTTTTTAAAAGTCTAATTTCATTAATATTAAAGTATTATATCTTGATATTATTGTCTTTAGAAATATATATAGCTAAATGTGGATAAATGTACTGTGAAGCTTTTAAATTATTAATTTATTTTAGCTGTAAGTTAATTAATTTGTAGTTTAATAAACATATTTCAATTATACCCATTTAGTTTTATGTTAATTTAATTGCAAGTACTTTTAAAAATTATGTAAGAAGTTGTATGTGTATATAATTAATGAAGAAGATTTGTTCTGCCAGGAATAGTTTTAAATAACTGTTTTATTTTTTTCATATGAGCTAATTTGTTCTTTATTTAAAGTCTAACAAAGTGGTTTTTTGTCTTTGCAAATTCATTAGGGTGTTGAGTTTGAATAAAAAATTTTATGGTGTTCTTTATTCAGTGATTATTTTGTATAAATTTTAACCACATCAGTTAGAAATATTAAGTATTTTAGTTAAAGTTGTCTTTTAATTAACATTGAGCATTAATAATAAATTTTAGCAAAGCTTACTTTAGTAAACGTAAGGAAAATCCAATTTTTTTTTCTCTATAAATCATGATTTTTATCTACATTGCATTTATAGCATTGTTTAAAAATGATCTTATTTTTAAAAATATATCATTCAGTTTTAAATCCTTGCATAAAACAAACTGAAAAATCAAATTATATTTATTTCAGGTTGATCGTGTGATTTTCTGCCTCTTTTTGCCTGTAGATGTGGCAATTTATGAATCTCTAATGCAGGAATATTTTCCTTTGTAAAGGTAACTTAAATGTTTTATAACTCTCTTGCCATGTTAATTACCATACTTCCTTATCAACCTTACCAACTTAATATAAATAACCTTATATAAAACACTTTGAATTGATTCATTTATTTTTTTTATCAAAATTTCCATACAAATTTATGCTTTTTCTTTTTAGTACAATAACTTTTCCAAAATATTTTTGGAAAGTATAGTTTATATAAGAATTTTTTTTTTTTTTTTTTAATTTTACGTAATTCTGGAATAAATAAGCATATGTGCTATAAAAATGTAGGTGACTTATATTTTTTTGAACCAAAAATTTTACCGTTGCTGCTTGAATTTCCTCCAAAGCCTTGTTTACATGGTCAGACATATTCTGCTCCCCTGAATATAATTAATAGCAACAAATAATGAGAGAAAAAAAGAAAATTATATGTTGCCATCAGACAATTATTGGTTAACACTTTAATTTAATCTGAAAAATTTGCCTAAATTGTAATGTATCAAATTTTAGATTAAAATCAATATTTAGATAATCAGTATTAATATTAGAATCAATATCGATATTTAGAATTAAAATCAATATTTAGATTGATAATGAGTAGCAACTTATAGTTATTACTAGTAACATGAACCAAATAGTTATAATGTAGATCTTAAAGTATTAAAATTACCATTAAAATAAACAATAATTTGAATAATTTTGGCAAAAATTTTTATATGTGATATATAATATAAATCATAACTATGGAAGTATATAATGCAAGTATTGTACATGATTTAGTATCTAATAAAATGTCTCCCATGTTAAAAATGAAACTTGCCCCTGTTTTTTTGATGAAATCTGACAGTTTTTTGAAAGTGTCATGTCAGAAACCCAACCCTGAGTAATTCACACCTTGCTCCTCCTAGACAAGAAAAAAGATCAAGATTAAAACTTAGTATTCCATCAAAATAAGGCCATTTCTCATTATAGGCATTGTAGGCCTTCAATGCTATCACAGATTGAAATGGCATAATCTTAGTATCCTTACTGAAGATAATATTCTATGGTTTCTTAGAGATTGAAGTTAAGTGGAAGAACAAATCATTCGTGATAAGCACCCTGTTATCAGAAAGAAGAAGAAAAAAAAAGAAAAAAACTGAAGATTTTCAACATAAATTAAGCATTATCCTGCTGGAAAATCTGACTTTGGCCACCAATTCTCCTTACAAATGTCAATAAATGAGTTTTTAACACTTTTTTCCCCCTCTTTTTATATTGATAATCACTTGGCATCATGAGGGAGAGGCCAGATTAAGATTACCACTATAGCTGTAGCCTTCACACTCATTTAATGAACCTCCACCTTGTCATATAATGGAGAAGAAATCCTTCTTTTTTTATTATGCCATACCAATTGCACTCAAAACCACCTGGACCACCCAACTTCTTTTTTTTTTCTACTCTCATGTTTGAAGATAATTTTCTTTTATATTGCAAATTGTTTGTATGATATATAAAATAAAACAGTAGATGAGATTCTTTAGCAAAATCATGACAACAAATCAACATCAATTTAAAAAAATTTGATTACCAAAAAATGCTAGACCCTCATTTATTGCTTTCGTAAGAAGAATTTGTACCCCAAGCCAGCTTTTCCAGGAGGATGATGCCTCAATTTACGTTAAAAAATCTTCACAGTGGTGGTTTTTGGATAACAGGTTGCTTATCATGACTGGCCTGTTCTTCCGCTTAACTTCATTTCCCAAAAAAATTTCAAAGGCTATCCTCAGTAGGGCCGTATATACCATAAAAGGACAATTTCAGTGTGTGGCAGAATTGAAAGCTATCGTCATTAAAACCTAACATAATAATTGTTCTCCAGGTATTGATAAATGGTAAGCAACACCGTATATTTCAAAAAATATAAAAATGTAGTAATGTTTTGGTTTTAATCAAAAATGGCTTTATTTTAATGAGATGCCTTTTTCTCCCTTCTTTACTTATTTAAATTTTTTTTTCTGTTTAAGTGGGAGAAGGGAGTGAGCTATTCTTTATTAGTATGTATTTAGATATTGACTTCATGATTGATGATTATTGAAATTCAAGTTTGGTTCACATTGATTTTCTTTGCATCCAATTATGGTATAAAATCAAGGTGACTTTATTTAAGTCAGATATACTATATAACATATATTGGTACTTAAATGTGCTTTGTTGCTAATTTATATATATTATAATATATATTCTAAATCTGTCAATTTGCTTTTGGTGAAACTTCTTCGATTGTTTTTCCATTCAGCAATGTTTATTTTCTTAGTATAACTGATCCCATGAGCATACCAAAGTTGAATGTTCTGCAACAAGACCTGTTAATTTCAAAAGTACTGGAACTAAAAAATTGCAAAAAAAAAATACGTAATTAAATAATCTTAATTAATTAAATTTTAAAATAATGTGTAAATGCCTTGATGAAAGAAAAAAAGGATATTAACTGAATTTCAAATTTTCATTAAAACTTGCGCATAAACTATTCTGAAGTGACATAGGCAAAAATAATTCCGTTTAAAGCATTAATTATTCTGCTGAGACTCTTAATTGCTCAGAAACAAATGTCGCAGTTTTAAACAGTTCCTACTGAAAACAATTTGACTAATATATTGAGAAACATTTTGGTCGAAAAATGTGAAATTCTTTGCACCGAATTCTTTTCGTTTACTAATCATTGAGCATTTTTTTTAAATTGTTTAATTGTCATTAAGCTATAAGAGTATTTTGTAATCTGAACAATTTATTTTTTATGTCTGTGCTAAAACTAATAGATGTTTTAATTGGAATACTAAGGTAGTAAAGTATGTATGAAAATATAAATGTAGGCTTAATTATTGCTTTTGGAGTCTTCCATTTCATCTATGAGAGAGAAAAAAGTTCTTTTGTATTATATTTTTTTTTCCTTTAGTTTTCTTAAATTTATTGTGACAAATTCTTTAGTTAGTGTATATTTCAATATATTAACATTGTAATCTAGGTATATAACATTTATATATATATCAAGTTATAATGAAAATATTATGTTTTTTATTTTGAAAATTTTTCTTCGCAACTAATTTTGTTAACTACATATATTAAACTATTATGTTTATAATTTCTTTAAAAATTGTGTTTCGACCTAATTTTTTTAGATTCATTAAAAAGGAACAATTTGCAACTTTTTATGAAAAAGTACAATTTGTGATATTTATATATCTCTCCTCACATCTTTTTTTTTCTTTCAACTGAATAATTTAGTGGCTCAATTTGTTTTATTGTCATTTTATATCTATATAGATGTGTGTTTATTTTTCAATTGAATTTTATTTAAATTATTTTTGTATATTTTTTCCATCTGTTTACTTGTTATTAATTCAGTGGGTATTAAAAACTAATTTTTTAGGATTTTTTTCTTGTCGCCTAATATCAAAATATTCTTTTCGATTGTATAGGATATTTCATTTTTGCAGTATCAATTGGTCTTGATTTTTTTTATTGTATCAAAAAAATATATAATGTTTCATAATATTAATGAATTATATTAATAGATCATTAGTTGTTCATTGCATGTTATTCACAACAACTTAGACCAGTCGTGACAAAGGTGTGGCAAGCAGGCTAAATGAAGCCATCATAAACTCTGACAGAAATTATTTGTTAAAATTTAGACTTACTATTATTTTTAATCTTACAAAAATAAAAGATTATTCATAAAATTAATCAGGAAACTCAAAATATACATTTCTGATTAAAATAAATTATAAATATATCTAGGAATATCTCTTTAATTCTTTTAAGGATATTATAAAAGTTGCTGTCTAGAAATTGGAAAACTGAATTAATTTAGAAATGGTTATATTCAAATAAAAAAAATATATTTAAAATTTCTCTTTTAGGAACAAAGGAACTATTCGATCGATATTGCTCAAATTTTGTATTTTGCCATATGAAATTACATTCTTTAAAATGATGCAAAAAGCTTAGTCTTACATTTCAAAATTCTTTCAACCATTCTTCAGTAAAATAATAAATATTTACTGTTAATTAGTAAATATTTATAAGTTATTTTTTGCATGGAATTATCTTTGGATAAACAAATTTTCTCATCGTATGTAAAAAAAAATTTCTAATTGTATATAAAAAATTTTAAATTTGCTTGATAAGTTCTCAAGATATTAAGAAATATGCAGAAAGTAAAATTAACAATAAGGGGTCTAAACTTTGGAGCACTCTCCTGACCAAATTATTGGGGGCATATTTCCCAGATTGTGGCGACCCTCTATATTTTGGTTGTCAAAAATCCGAATCCGTTAAAAAAAGGGTATGTTTATTCAGAGAAAATATGTTTTTGTTTCCGATTTTGTAACTTAAAATATCGACTGCAGTTATTATTTTGTATATTTGAAGTCAGCCCTTTAAGCCATTAAGATTGAGTTCTAGAGCTTGAAAATCTGATCATTAGATTGAAAGTAGTTCTAGGTGGTCATTTTATTTATTTATTTGTTCACTGTACATTTCACTGGTGTGTTAAATTAAATATTGAGTTTTACTTTACTAAAATATTGAGAAAATTGTAGAGTAGTGAATAGCATAAAAATTAATAAATAAATATTGGAAGATAACCGAAACAAATCACACCAATTATGAATAGATTTTATATATTTGATTATTCTATTAGCCATAGTAATCAAAGGTATCCATGTGTTGTATACAAAAAATAACTAAAGTCTTAAGTTACTCAGAATAATTAGATATTGGGAGAAAAAAAGAAACAAATAAATAACTCACCAATTATGAATAAATTTTGTATATTAAAGATTATTCTATTAACCATGGCAATCAACAATGGCATTATTGTGTTAAACACAGAAATTGACTAAAATCTGTCAGGGCTTCGCAATTGTCCTAAATTAAAAATTAATACTCTTTTGGGCAATTCCATATGTGACGGAATGACATATTGACTTGCATGATGACAATTAATTGAAGTTTCTATGCATCTAATTTCAAATAAACATGATTTTTTCTCATGCATGTCATTATTATTGGTATAATGTGATTCATAAACTAAAAAAAAAAAGAATTTTGTATTTTTTTTATTTTTAATTTTATGAACTTTTTACTTGTGTGACGGAATGACATTTTGGCAACCAAGCTTTTGGCATGCCGCTTAGAACTGATAGTTTCTGTGAATTTTGCAACTATTATTTTCCTGAACTATTTTTTACTTTTAGTATAATGTGTAAGCAATGTAAATTGTGAATTTGGAAAATTAACCTCAGGTTGGTTAGCAGTTATTAACATCTATTTGCTGTGACGGAATGACCGTGACGGAATGACAAAAAGTTTAGTGGAAGAAAGTCTTCATTTAAAAAATGTTTTATT